GAACTTCTGCACATCTGTGTAAAGTTCTATGTTGAAACCAGTCAGTCAGTCAGTCATTCTTATTATGGGTAGAAATACCCACTGGTTATCTTGACGAAAAGGTACATACACACTAGGAAGCAAAGCAAGTGTTTCTAGCAACTTCTGTTTGACAACTTTCTTATATGGAAGTCTACTACACTGAAGACAGGAAGAAATGCTTCAAGTTTCTCATCCTGGTATCCCTGAATGACTGACTGACTGGTTTCAACATAGAACTTTGCACAGATGTGCAGCAGTTCGAGTTGCCACTCTCTATCCATGTAACATACACAATGCAAGAGAAGATAGTGAGGAGACACTCGAAAGCGAGATAATAGAAAGAAGTGTGAGTGAGGAGAAAAGAATAGTGACATGGAGGAGTAATAGAATTTTATTGGATATGACAAATCACAAAGAGTGCACTTACGCCAACCATTGAGGACGACTTTGAGGCATCACCAATTGTCTGCAGCCGTCACTGGTTCTTACCATTCCAAAGACCCCAACTAGTCAGGAAGTCAGTTTACACCTCCACACCTGGCTGGCTCAAACTAACTGTTAAGGATTTAATTGATTGATGAAGCCATGTTTCTGTTTGGCCACCACTCACTAGCTCTTTTCCAACCTGATCCATCCTATGTCACCTAACGTTGCCTGTTGTCAAGGAAGGCGATGGCTAGGGATGCATGAGAAACCCATGTCCTAACCATCTCAATCGATGTAACTGCTTCACAACCTAGTCAATTGACTTCCCCTCTTTACGTATCACTCGACACCTAACCTCAATATTACTCACCCCATTATTTATACCACTTTACACGGGAGATAGAACGCAGGCACCTATGATCAAAGACAGCTAACCGGTCTATTCATGTCTTCCACTTCCAATAGTCGCCATGTCTCACTCACAGCCACAAAGGAGGACAGAGAAAATTGATGAGCAGTACACACGTCCTCTTGTCGACAGCCAGCCAGCTGGATATCACTTCTACTAAGGCAGAGATGGCGTCAGTTGCCTGACAAATGCCAAACGAGCCTTTTATATCCGCGGTGAGATTTCTTCAGCGATCAACCCGCTGACACTCTGATGCAACTTACCCAAATAAGTGATGTAGTCAACACGCTCCACTAACCCACTTCACTCTCTATTTCTAAACTAGGAGTCAGTGCAATCCAGTCCTCGAATCCTTATTCCTGAACACTGTTAAATAATAGAAACAAATAAGATAAGCATTTCTTTTATTTAAAAAAAACACTTTTTAATTAACTGAAAGACTTTAACTCATTTTGCACATATTTTCAACGTTGAATTTTTGTTTTCCATACTTTCCATAATTCGTTACACAGAAACAAACAATCACTCAATTCCAAGAATACAACAGCAATGGGGAAACTCTTACAAAACAAAAGAAAATTACAAATAACTCAAAAAAAATGGTACAAAATGGTTAAAACGCTTCAAAAGCAGATCGTCTTCCTTTTACAACATGAACTATAAAAAAGTATAAGAATATTTCTCATCAGGAAAAAGGAAAGAAATCTCCAGTTTTTGACGGATAAACTTTAAAGGTATGAAAATATTAACAAATTCGCTGGGTAAAATAAATAAATTTATTTATTTATCCATTTATTTTTAAAAGGTTGGTTCTCTTACGTTAGTCAGTCAACCCACTTGTAAGAGAATTAATTACGTTTACAAAAACAGATTAACATCCCTGAGGAGATGGGGGAAAAATGCTGTTGATTCACGTAATAATAATAATAATAAAAACTGTAGGTTGGGCAGCTATTGATCCCCTTTTGGAACAAATGACGATGTATACTGCTGTTTCAGCTTTTCCGTGTTGCTAAGATCTAAATCATGGACTGGATGAGATGGTGAGCCTGTGTGGAAGTTTTTAAAGAGGAAATTAAATGTAAAAATGACTCAATAACAAAGTTAAAAAATAAGCATCAATCAACAAACACACATACATTAAGAAAACTATGACTAGAAAGAAAACGTATAAATTCACATTGAAATATATCAGCTTAAACTGCAACATCAAGTTCGGCAAAGATATTTATGTTTTTGGCGATTTCATTTTCAAAAGCTGTACAATAATCGCATTTAAATGCATAAATTCACATAGATACAATTATTATTATTATTAATTGATTCCACATAATTACGAAGACGAATAAAAGGTGACGATTATTTCCAGCTTGATATGGATTACGGAGAAATCAATAAACGAGGCTGTGAAACAGTTACATCTATTGCGATGGTTAGGACATGTGTTACGTATGCCTGCCAAGCCATCGCCTTCCTCAACAACAGGCAATATGTGTGAGATACCACTAACTAATTTTGTTCCTATCCTCTGTACTCTTTCCAGGATATTTGCCTCCTTTCTGAAGCATGGACTCAGCTTGAATGTATGTATTTTAGATGAGGTCTGACATATGCTGTGTAGAGTACTTGGAACATACACTCGTCTAATCATTTGAAAGCCCTTCGAAATGCCCATCGCATTCCAAAAGCCTCCCCTGCGACCGCAATACAATTTCCCGTTGTTTTTAAGTCATGGCTTATAATAATTCTTAAGTCATTTTGTCCCTTAACATCTGACAGTTCTGTGTCCCCCAGGGAGTACGACATGTAAGGCCTCTCACCTAGGTGCATTACCAGGCTTTTCTTGGAATTAATTTCCAGACTCCAGAGGTTGGCCCATTTAGCCAATTACTTACTTACTTTACTTTACTTCGGCTATCTCCTACGGGAGGATGAGCCGGCTTCATGAACAAGAGTTCATGAAGTCTCATGGGAATTTGGTACGAGTGATGTCCCCAGAATCGCTCGGCCTTTTGTTTGAGAGTGCAGCTCTAGCCTTTACACAACCAAGTGTGACCTACAAGGCAGTAGGAGTGGAGTAGGGAGTCCACTATCCATTGGCAGCCGGTGACCTGAGTTCGGTTCATCGGTCGGTCGGTCAGTTTTCGACATAGAACTTTGCACATATGTGCGGTAGTTCAAGTCGCCACACTCCATGTAGCATACAAAGCAAGAGAAGAAATTAGAAGAAATGCATAATATAGACAGTAAACAGAGGTGTGAGACAAAGGAATAATAATAACGGAGAACGAAACAGTTTAACTGGAAATCATAAGTCACAAGGAGCGGATGCATCTGCACCACTGAGAACGGTTTTGAGCCATGTCACCAGCTTCGTACATTGTACGAACATTTCACGTCCCCATCCTTTGTCCATACGTCTGCCGGTGAGTTCCAGTGAGCTTCATACGCCAGTCGTTGGAGGTTTGGAATCAGGGTTTAGCCATCTCCCCTAGACTGTCATCCAATGGACAGTCAACCCGGTGAAGAGCACCGGGCACCCGCTTTCGCCCTCTCACTTTGGTGAAAAACACCTCCGCCACGTGAAGGCAGTGAGTAGGACTTTCTCAGGAGAGGCTATGTAAGACGCCCGGTCATATGGGAGCATTTCAAGAGGTGTGCGGAGGGGTGGCCAACCCGCAGCGCAAGGCACCCACCCCCGACCATCCTGAGGCTTTGGAGGCATTTAGCTAATTGATCTAGATCGTTTCGTAATACCAACCTATCATCGTTATTATTTACAGTTTTTCATATTCTAATATCGTCCGCAAATAATGAGGCTATGACGAAGTATACTTCTTATGTAGAAGGTTATAGCTCATAACATCCAGTGACTCACAATATTACCCAGTTTCATGAGTCACTAGTGAATCCACTGACCTTCAACGTAGAACCCTGAACAAAAATACAACACTTTAAGTTGCCATAATCCATCTAGTACACAAAAGTAGGAAAAAGAAATTCAAAAGAACTACAGTGGGCAGAATTTTACGGGAGAAAGAATAGTAACGTGGGTAACATGAGGATTTGGTGGATCTGTGAGGTTACAAGGAATGTATGCTTCTACGCCAATGAGGACAGTTTTGAGCCATATCACCAACACTCTCTAGCCATATGTTCTTAGCACCTTAGGGACTCCAACCAAGCAGTCTACATCTTTCTAAGTGGCTCATACCAACTATCAAAGATTTCACGAATTGATTGCGGGTTTTGTTCTGACCACCTCTAATCATTTTCAAAACCAATCCTATATATCACTTGACTGTCGATCGAAGAAGGTGCCGGCTTGGAACATGTCCTACCCATTTCAATTGGTGCAACTTTATAATTTTATCGATTAACCCACCCCTCCCCCCCCAATCGAGTACATTCTCGGCCTTTGACATACTCACTGAAGTCAATCGTCTAAGTCAATAAATGCCACCTTCAATCATACCGTAGTAACCAAACGCATTTTCTATTAAGCGTGAAAAATAACTACAGACTCCATGACTAACTATTTAGACTAAAATTTCTCGCTCCATAAGCCCAATTATCAAATACTGATTGAGGAAACCTCTCACTGGGGAAGAACATCACAGAAAGGCACCTAACATGCACAAAATGCCGACTGGCTTAAATACTCCTTTTCCAATATTATTACGTTAGTTTAAATCTACCTGAAATTAAAACGGGATGAAGTACAACTCAAATGCTGCATATTTTTAACATGCGAAACAATAAAGCAGACTCATAATCACCATATGACTGACAGGCAATAAGATTACCCAACGGTCAAATCGGCAAGTAGATGCTACTTTCCCAGTACATAATGAGAGTCAAAAAACAATGAGATCATTCTCTGTTTTTATATGTTTATGTTTTCGGACAGACTAACCTAACAGGAGAATAGAACATGTCATACAATTGCCACACACACACAGTCCACGGTACTGGTACATGACAATACAAGACACTAGTAGGGAATGTAGATTCTGCAAAGTCATCAAGCATTATGTGATCTAAAGTGTTGGGCTTTTTAGTTATAACATACATGTATTAAAAGTCTCTAAAATTTTAGGACAATCAAAGTGAGAGGAAATTAAACAGAAATTCTGTAACGCACCTTGTTGGCAGCCTAGACCAGCGTGACGGTTGAACGTAGTAGATTTCTCCAGACTTTTACGGAACTGACTCTCCAGCTCCAAGTTTATTACAGATGGATCCTTGGTACCTTTGTGGACACTTTCTACATCTTCCCCTATCACAATTTTCCCCTTGTGTGTACGGTCAGGCTTCCCACCCATCAATCTCAGAAACTTTTTATTCCTCTCCTCAGATCCTAGGTTAACATGCTCCCAGTCATTAGGAGAGTGTACATCGTCAGGTATGAAATCACCACTAAGACCACTCATCTAAATCGTATGTAACTCGAAAAACGACCTTGAATCAAAACGCCCACGATATTATCCAATATCCAATATTGTTTTTACGAGCTAGTACAAACCAATTTGATTTCTTTTTGCTCGCTTCTCGATTGTGAGGTATGGGCTCCTGATCTTCGGTAAACTTTTGCCTAGCTCGTCCCGCCACTCAACTGTCGTAGCTTTGGTTGACTCCAAGAGGAGCAGTGCAGAGATTAATTATATGTGGTTTGTAGTATGAGGTGTGTTAAGACTGTTACTACTGTGAATGGAGTTGATCCTTTCACCAGTTAGTCCTCCGTTATCGTCCTCAAAAGAAAAGAGATAATAATAATAGATATAATTAGTGAAGTTATTCAGAATAAGAGACAGAAAAAGGATAAGAAAACGTAACAACAGTCAGCTGATTAAATTTGAAGAATAATATGAATAATATATATATATACCGGTAATAATGATAATAACAATAAAAGTTGCAGTTAAAGCTGTCAGGAGAGTAAGACGGGAGAGAATGTAAAGAAGTGAAATGAAAAGTTTAATTGTCTACTCCTGAATGGTGTTTGCGATTTTAAGGGGATAGGCCATTTAGATGCAGTCCTTGTGTCGCTGCATGGTGGTCCAGCCTTCGCTTAAAGGCGTCCACAGACGGTTCCATAGCTACGTGTGCCGGTAAGGAATTCCAGGGACGGCAAACCCGTAGTGAAAAGAAGTGGGAGAGCACTCGGGTCCTTGCCCTCTGGTGAGCTATTATTCTGGGATTTCCACGAGGAAGCCCATACCTACTCAATGGTAGAACACCTTTGTTTGGGTGATTCTGGTATTTTTTTATCTTGTGGGCAGTAATTAAATCCCTCCTGAGACGACGGTAACTAAGTGTGAATAGGCCTAATTTCTTTAGCCTTTCATCATATGGTTTATTTCGGAGACTAGCCACTCCTTTTATCGCCCGTCTTTGGACTCTTTCTAAGAGGTTGGCGTCTCTCCTAAGCAGTGGGGGTGCAATCATATTATGCACTTCCGTTAGAACTAGACCTAAGTCGCGCTCCGACTTTGTGCAGGACAAGCTTTTGTAGCGGTAAATAATTCCCCAAAATTATTGACCACAGCAATCATCACTCAACATTGGATGCTGACCATCACTGTTTAAGTCGACTTGTTTAGCTGAAGGCTTCCGGTCAAGCATCCCCGCCATTTGGTACTCCGTCGTGTCACGTGCGTTCACGATTACTAGCTAGCTAAGCATTCACCTCTATCCGCGATTTTGTCCCGAAATATACTACGTACTTTGGACGACAAAATCTGGTCTTTTGCTTTATCTGTGGTACTCGAAGAACGAACACTATAGAAGTTGTTGGTATAAGATCTTGCGTTAATATAATCCGTACAACTCGCGAACGTCGATACCTGCATCCTCTAAACTTTCATTGCACAGGGTGTAACTTGCATTCTGCAGTCTACAGGTGCGTAATTTCACTACTTTGCACTTTTTCAGGTCGAAAGTCATGCCACTGGCCACCACCCAGTCTTCCGGAAGCTTTAGATCTGCCTGCAGTCTATCTGAGTCCTCCGGACACTTTATCGCCCTCCATATCTTTACGTCGTTAGCGTATAGAAGAGTCGGGCAGCTTAGACGGAATGGTAGATCATTGATAAAAATCAAAAACATCAGTGGTCCTAGGATATAACTTTGTGACACTCCTGATGACGAGCTGTGCCAGGATGATCGGACTCGATTGACCTAGGTGCAAAATTGCCTTTAAGCTAGGTAGTCCTTTAACCAAGACAGAAGTGGCTTACCTATACATGCCTGGCTTATTTTATGTAGGAGAAAGTCATGGTGAACCGTGTCGAATGCCTTCTCAAAGTCTAGGAAGACCACATAATAATAATAATTTATATTTTCATATAAACATAAATTTACATGAAAATGCATGCCATTTTTACAGGCACGATCAAGTATGATATAATGTCAAATAGTAGATTGTCTACAAGTTAATGTTTGAACAGCTAAATATTTGATCGATATATACATAAATACACTCACTGCCTGACCCATGTCGTATCATTATTGAATTAAACAGTAGTCCTCCAGGTTGCGCAGGAAAATCGACTTCATTTCGTTTTCAACCCATAGTTGTAGGCATACGATAACCAACCAATATTGAGGTAAGTACAACGTTTACGAGGGATAGTAAGCTGTTTTAGAAAAGTAAAGGTGCTAAGGTGGATCATTAAAGTGTAATGAAATAAGTAAATGCAATGTATCATTAACAGATGCATTCATAAAGGAAATACAATGGGAGACTATAATCCCTAGGCTGACAAAGTCCATTTGCAATGTATAATGCTACCCATATAGGTCTTGCTATCATGATGTCCACTTTTGGTTTTAATACAATTATCCACACGCCGGTTGTTTTAATTTCATACCTTTTTGTGTATATGGTGCACAACCGTACCCTATAGAGAATAAGAATAAAATAAGTCGAATCAAAATCATAAAGGGCTATAAAATGTTAGGTTTAGTGGAATATAATGAGCAAGTGAAGACGTTATTAGAAAATGAATGAGATGAGACATTGTTAAGTGATATTCGAAGATACGACAAAGGAAAGCAAGTTAATTTATAAGATCCCCCATAAATCTGTGCAGAGCCCACGTGGTCGCATCTCAGCAATAGGCTGACCGAATGGTATATGTTTAAATGACAAACTACAAGAGTTTGCAAACGATATTAGTTCTAGTTCCTATCTGAGAGCCTCCGAAATTATAGGTCCATTTAATGTATAAGCTTAAATACTACACCTGTTGTTTTTTGCCTATATTTATAATTCTAGATAAAACATTAACGGTTAACATACGTATCCTCAAACAGACAACAAATCTCGTTTGTAAAACTACTACCCAACACAATAAGTGGAATAAAATGGACATAAACCGACAACATGAAAAAGGTATAACTCACCACAACATCACAAGGACAGATGAACGCTCGTTGGGCACCATATATCCCTCACCAACTGCAACCCACCTTTCCTTAGATAATGTGATGAACTTATATCCATAATGTTGCTGAGCAGTTAATATTCTCAACTCCTGTCGGAACAGCTGAAACTCATAAACCTTCCTAACGCTAAGAAAATACCCGTAATCAGTAGAAATCCATTAATTAATGCGTCCGAAGCTTATGTACTTACTCCCAACAATGACATTGCAGATCAAATGAGATAAACACATCACTGATTTCAAAATAACACATCAATGAACTATAATTCGAGGACTCTGCACACAACAAAGTTATGTATGAATATTTACTTCAAGCTTTATTTTTTTCCCAGGCACTTATAATCCATCCACCAAAGACCTGGTTTTTTGTTAATGCGAAGACAATACTCCTGTATTTCCTGTTGTGTTGCACTCACTGACAATCTCGCAGATTTTTCCAACTTTGCACAGAAATGATTGTATATAAGTGAAAAGGCTGTTTTATACTACTGGAATTAACATTTATCAAGTGTATGTATAATCTCTATCGAACATGTAAAGCATATCTTGCTACTGGCTGTAAATTGTGATTAAATTATATGGTTCTATTTCTGTAACAATTTGATGATGCCTGTAAACTGGCGTCCCTCATGTACTGTACTATGAGAATAAATTTATTTATTTATTTATTTAAAAGGTAGAAGCATGATCTGTCCAGGCGATCATTATTATCTTTTTCAAGATAAAGATTCAAGCCCTCATAGAAATCTCGAGCCGTCAAATTGCATATTGCTGTTCCTGCAGAATGGGGCGATTCACCTTAGTGTCCACCACCATAACTACTGATCAGCATGCGCCACCCTCCCTCCTTTTATGATGTTAGGCTCTGATTGTTATGGCTACAGCAAATATATTGCTTGATTCCAGACATGTTCGTAACTCACATCCCATATGCCTAGCTTTCTTAGTGAGTATTTCCAATAGATCTCCACATAGGGATTTATGAACATATTATATATGTGTGCATGCGTCCTAATGAACAGATTAGCTTATAAGATGTTTAACCCTTAAAGAGTAAAAAGAATAGGTTTTGTGAATAGTGGAACAAGATTCAGCAGAACACTATAGTTAGAGTTCAATGTAGGTTGTATGAACTGAAGGTAAGGTTGGTTGGCAGGACTTATCGTACTAAATTATCATGAAAGTCTTTTATATAGTAAACATTTGACATTGCAAAGTAACCTGTCTACACATATTATAAAAAGATATTAACACAGAACCAACAGAATTTTAACATTTGGTTAACAATACTGCAGTGTGTGTATACTGAAGAAGCGTAGTTAGTCTTACAGGAACATTCATATCCCAGCATGATTTCCAATCGTCCAAAGCTGATAGCAGGTTTGTTACACAGGATCTGCCTTTCCTGAAACCGTGTTGGTCTTCATGGAGTATAATAATAATAATATATATTTTCCTATCAATGTAGGACACACCAGTTGTACAGGCATGGATAAGTATTATTTAAATCACATGAATTTGATTAATAGTGAAATTACATGGTTGCTGTCCTCTCTGACATCAGTTAGTGAGCACATTCTGATAGTTAGTCGTTCAATGGAGCACATAAAGAAATAAAGAAATATTGTCTTCGCATTAACAAAAAAAACCCAAGTATGTGTCGGATAAATTACAAATATTTGGGAAAAAATAAAGCTTGAAATCAATTCCTCCATATAACTTTGTTGTGTGCGGCATCGTATCTTGTTTTATGTTCAAATTATGTATTAATTTAAAATGAGTGATTAATTTTTATGATTTTGACATCATTTTTATTGCAAGTAATACCAGATGTGAGTTCAACTGAATGCAGATTAATATTGGTCAATTTCAAGCAGATTTGTTTTACTGCACTCAAGTCACCCATAGCCCGCCATTTGTCACAGCATGGTTGCTCCGTACCAGTAAGTTGATAAACGCGTAGAAAGCTATATAAAAACCATTTTAAATCGTTGACAGTGCTTGTATAAGATGCTGTACAGCGTCTTGTTATGGTGATAGTGGATTT